TATAAGAACTCTTAATAGCACAACATTTATTGATATTAGCAGAGTTCTTATAAAAAATCTTATTTTCCTGTCACCTTAAATCACAGATCATGGAGCATGATGAGAACTGAAATGAACATCCGGAAAAAAGAAAACTGGCCAGGAAAAAGAAAAAAATGGAACTTGACAGTTCTAACCTCAGCGGCTCCCAAGATGATTTGGATTTGTTTAGGCAAGGTATTCAGACAGAAAATGACAGGTAGGTCTTATTGTACCTGGGCTTTCTATTCAATTAAAACCTCAAATAGAAACAYATTAAAAAATGCTAAGTTATCTTTTTAAACTCATTTCTCAGGCTATTACAGCATGAAAATCAAACACTTCTTGACCAGGTGAGAGAGCTAAAGGATGAAAATGGACGACTCTTCAAACTCCTGAGTGAAARGGATTTTGAGATTAAACACCTGAAGAAGAAAAGAGAAGAGGAAAGGCTGGCCTTAGCAGGTATACAGGTGTATTTTTAAGACCAGTGTTAAGGTGCTTCACGTCATATTTTTATCTATTTATTTATTTATTTATTTATTGACATTTGTTTAGGCACATCAGGCTTTGCAGGGGCTGTAGCTGCATCCAAGATCGTTGAGCTTTCCAAGAAGATTAGGGAGCTAACTGCTGAAATTGAGAGCGAGAAGATTAAGTCCAAGCAAAGCAGCAACAGAATCAAAGAGCTTGAGAAAGAGGTAAAGAACTTTCAAGGTAATTTGCTGAATGAAAGTGCATCAAATCAGCGCCGAACTCTTGGAAAGAAACTTTTCTTTTTGTACAGCTGCAGACCATTGGGATACATTCTCAATCTGGGCAGAAGACTGACTCAAAGTTACTGGATAAGAGCTCATCTGGAGAAAGTGAGGTAAACAGAAACCAACCAAAGGTGTATCCTTTTGCTGTTATTGTGATCTAAACTGTGGCAACTCAAACATTTTAATTCCAAAAAGCAGGAAAACCCAGAGATCAGACCTCTGCAGGAAAAGTTAGCAGCTGCTCAGTTAAAAGTAGCTGAATATCGCAACCAGATTCAATCCACCAAACAAGAGTTGAGAGTTGCTCAGAAGGTAATCATCTTTTACTGTTGTTGTTGTTTTATTTTAAATGGCAGTGGTCTTATTATGCTAATTTACAAGTTCTTGGTTTAATTTTTGAGCCTTTTAGCCACTGAATTGATCTGATCAGATGAGCTGATTGGTCAAAGATATTGCAAGGAATTCATTTTTGAGTGAGGCACGCTCTGTTTGGCAAGATTTTTTTGGGGAATATTGATATGAGAAAAGCAAAACAATATCTTTAAGGCGACCTGTTACTACAGTTTTCTATGTAGAGTTTATGCAGTTTTAGATTTTGCAGACCTTACACATGAAAAAATCATGTAGCAGTTTTCACATTCTAATGATATGAAGGTGGGATTTTTTTTAATTTCACAATATGAACTGTTGCAGGTAATAATAAGTGAGGTTGGAGAAGAAGTCAACCTTCAACAGTTGCTGAACTGCCCTGGGAGCTTTAGAGGAAGATCACAGCAAATACTGTCTCTCAAAACAAGGGTAAGCAAATAACGAATAACTTAACAACGCAACGTGTTTCATAAAGTTAGACAGTTTATCATATATAAAATAAACCTTTAGRCCATGTGGTAGGAAAATGAAAATGATTTGAACCATCAGGTTCGAGATCTGGAGCAGCAGCTCAACCAAGTGACTCAGCAAAGACAATCRAGTGTCGTCAGTGTGGAGGAAGAGTTTCTGGGCACTGGTGTCCATCAGAAAACTCCCCCCGAAGACAGGAACCTCAGCTACATCCGCACCATTGAGAAAGGGAAGAGAGAAGCATTTGAGGTGAGTAAGCAATTGCTCTGATAAAATCGAAAAAAGTAATWGGTTTATGTCCCCGCTATGTTTTTACATCTCTGCAGAGGATCTCAGCAGAATATGAAGCACTACTGAAAGAACACGAGGATGTGAAGAAAAGGCTGGACGCTGCTAAAGCCAGGAACAGAATTCAGTCTAATGAAATACAAACTTTGAAGGTCCAGAACACCACCTTGTTGGAGAAGAATAAACACGATGCTGAGCTTTTGGGCGTTACATTGGTAAGGCATTAAAGCAGGGAACAATGAGTAGTTATATTCACACTGCATCACAATTCAGATGTTATCACATAGCCCATTTTACACATTTTCTACATTTCTGTAGAAGCAGCAGAATCAGATGCAGACAATGCTGAAGCAACTCAGCCAACAGCAGAAAGATTACAAACACAAGCCAAAGCATCATCTGAGCTGTGAGCCTTCAGAGCAGAACAGACTGATCCAGAGCCTGAAGCAGGTGGTTGCTGAGAAAGACRCCAAGATCAGTGAGCTGCAGAAGAGACAGCAACATTCCAACAAGGTGTCTTTGTGCTGTTTCCATCGTACCCCAGATAGCAAACCTTACKGACTCAAAAATCTACCACGTATTTTTTAAATGTGGTTTTATGGTGTTTACAGGGTGAGCATGTGGACAGACAGTCAAGCTGCAGTTCAAGATTCTTACCAGAAGATGGAGACATTAACAAGAGAATCCCTTCTTCAGAGTATGTTTTCATTCAGTACACATGTTAAATAATCACAAGTGTCTGCGTATAGGCAGCTGTTTCTTTTAGTTTCATTATGTGAGCTACTGTGTTTGTTACCTTCTCCAGTTCAATCTCTAAATATGGTCATAAATTGGTGACACCTGCAGTCGGGACTGGGTTAGATAACAAGTAGGTGATCTATTGTTTTATTATTATTATCTTGTATAATGTTACATACAGTGTATCATTGTGTACTTTTGTATATTTTGTTCATAGGAGCTTAAGTTCTTCAAAATGTCCACAATGTTCAGCTGATGTGAGTGCACTGATGACCCAGAGCAGTGAATATAAACTCCTCTGTGTGGAGAAGGACCGACTCTTTGAGCTAGTTCAAGTCCTGCAGATGAGGTGATGTTAGTGCAGAATGTTTATGACCTTTTGAACTCTTTTTCTACTTTGTTGCTCAAAGTTTTGTATTTTCATCGATGCTGGTGAAACGTACATCTGGGACAGATGTGGCCGTTTCATAAAATGGCAGTAATGTCAGCCGTAAAAGCAAAAACGGCTTTCTCTTTTGTAATTTAAAACATATTTATGTGGTTACATCAGATTCTGACTTAAATATACTTTGTAAAGTACGTACAATACAATATGTACAACTACAATAATTGATGAATCTTTCTAATGCACGTTTTGTGGCACATATCTCATCGCACAGTTTTTGTACCCAACAATTCATATATCAAAATGTTCATCTCCTTTAAGACATTCTGGCTGACTTTTGGTATTTTAGCAATTTGTTCTTTTTGAGATATTTAGCTTTTTTGGCCGTTTTTGCTCTCGTTAAAAATAATTTCAACATTCTTAAAATCCTTCATAATAATTAAACCTTTCCTGCATTTTACACTTTTTGTTCTGGTTTAGCTTTTTTAAAAAACTTCTTTGTGCTGATTTTAGCTTCCTTTAGCTTCTTTTTGTTAATATTGACCTTTTTTTGTTTTGCCTTTTCAGCTATCTTTCTACTCTTTTCAGTTATTCTACTAATTCAAATTTTTGTACTTTTATCAACTTCTTTCTGCTAATTTTGGCTTTTATGCTTTTTTAAAACTCTTTTACTGCATTTAAGCTACTTTTTAAGCAATGTTCAGCTAATATTCAGAGCTAAATTCAGCTAAATTATCCTTTTTGTGAAATTTTATCTACTACATGCAGCTTCTTAATTTAGCAAGTATGTGCTCTTTCTCCTTAGCTCTGTACGCTATATTTTAGCTACTTTTTTGCTATATTACTACGCTGAAGCTCTTGTGTCAGGAGGAGTCTGATTTACACCTAATTTGCTTGAATCCTTCAGGGATAAAGAGATGAACCAGAAATGTTTGGAGGCACAGAAAAAGTACCAGGAGGCGCGCTATGAGACTGTGTTTCTGGAGCAGGAGTTGGAGMGGATGAAAATAGAAGGAGTCAACCAGCACAATTAGGACTTGTACCAAGCCTCGGTAACAGCATGATATGAAAATGTGAAGGATGTTTTTGTTACTTGTGACTATCAGAACTCTATAGGAACCAGAAGTCACAAAGCAACAGGAAGTGTTCATAAACACACTGAACAAATTGTCCAGCTGTTGGCTTTTTCACCCTAACTTTTACAACACTGCAGATACCTTAAGCTGGTTCTGAAATCAAACATGATAGTTTTTTGTTTCCCCAGCAGGTATAAAATTTTAACCAGATAACAGAAATAATGTGTGGCAAAGGAGCTCACTGCTGGCAGACAGAGATCATATCTGTCCATCACGTCTTGGTTCGCACTGTGTTGTTTTCGTTGCTCTTGTATGTCATCCCCAGCCGGGTCGCTCAGCCGGTGGAAGCCCGAGCTCCGAGGGCGTCCCGAAAGAGCGCTCTCCATCCTGACCTGCAACTTTACGGTGACGCGACGCGACAAGTCGAGCATGTTTCCCTGGAGGCTCTGTGACAGCAGCGAGGCACTAACCGAGCGAACTGGCTGCTCCCTGCTTAAGCTCACTTGCACATTCTCCTGTCACATGTGACAAACAGCAGCCTGCAGGAAACAAGTTCTCCTCTTCAATTGTATAGAAAACACATGGGTCTCTCACCTGCTCTTCAGCTTATAATGATTAGTACTGGTTTCCGTGTGAGATATGCTGAACTTGACTGAAGTGCTTTGAGTGGCAAGGCTTTCAGCGTTGCCCTGATGGCAGCAGACACGAGGTGATACTGATCTGAGAAACCCTTGGCAGTAATAGGACCTCTTGTGGTTTCATATTGTGTCTGCTTGTTGTTTTTCTACTGTCACATCTTATTAAGTAAATGCTACTAAAGTTTTCCTCTGCTGGTAACTTGATGTGCATTTTTTTTACTCACACTGACGCCAGTCATTTCTGCTTTTTATGTAAATGTTTTCAACAAGCAAACAAAGAAAAAAAATGTCCAATTTGGTCAATAAAACGTGAACCCCATCTTCAAAAAATGATTTAAATATATTGTTTTTCTAAATAGTAATGACCTACAGTACATTTTGTCTAAATGTAAGTTTTTTTATTGTGTGTTTGCTTGTCTGTAGCGTTAGTAAAATATCTTGTGAATCAGCGGGTGGATTTTAATGAAACCTGCAGAAAGCGATCAAACAGATTGACTTTTGGAGTCAACTCAGTTTGAACATGGCTGCCACAGCTAAGTGAATATACAAACACAAAAATAACTATAAATCAGCCTAATTTTATAGTTATTGAGCTAATTTGGCATGAAAGTAGCTGAAGATCATTTCCAACAAATACTTTCTGTTATAATATCTTGTTGTCCAACGTATGGGTTTTACCACTTATTTGAGCAGCTGATTAACCTTTGGAGGCAATCAAATATCCTGAGGAAACAAGGAATGGCTATAAGTCTGTCAATTTAAAATACATTGAGTTAAAATTTGGTGTGGTAGCTGAGAGTCRTTTAAAACATACTCTGAGTGCTGTCACGTCTTCTGTGATACTGTACAAAATAACACGACACAACAATACAGCTCTAACCTCCTTCAAGTAATACAGGCCTTTAATTTCATGCTGTTTTTGGCAGCAAATAAACTTGTATTTTTAAGAACGAGTTCAGCCGCACTCCCCTCAAAGTTCAACGTAACTGCAAAATATTACTAATTATTTCTGACTTGTGTGGGAATATAGGCTGAAAATGACTTCGAACTCAGGATCCATGAATTCAGACTGCGGTCCTTACATTTCCCAGGGCGTGGCACACATGTACASTATGTGATCTTAGCCACTCACATCCGAGGACTGTCTGGACACGGCTGATGGGAGTGGCCCTTATACATTCACACAAACATCAGAGTTATTTTCTTCCAAGGCAGTCAAAAGGGTTTCAGCCTACCCCCACCACCCTCCTCCTTTGCCCCCCCTCCACATCACGCTTAATTTAAAACCATAGCTGACTTAGTGTGCTGATTCAAATACCGCACTATGTCTTCCAGCACCCTGTGGGAGATTGGCAGGTCCCCTTTGGACTTGGTGAGAAAGTGCCACAAGACAAAAATATCAGTTTGGACATGATGAAGAAAGCCTTTAAGYTCAGAGTAACAAAAACCAGCTTGTGCTGAATAACTCCTGGACAGAAKGAGAGGCAACCTTTTATGTGACATAGTTCAATGCATACTATGATTGGAGGAAAAGATGAGAAATCGGAAGGTTCTTCTAATAAATGTATAGATGTTAATTAGAAAAGTGCTGCTGGAGCAAAAATTTCATCTGATTATGGGGAAATGTTCAACTTCGGATTCTTCAGCAAACAACTTTAGATGAAATGCACATTCMGATTTTTTTATACATTTATTTTGATTGGTATCATAGTTGATAGGAACAAGTCCAGCGCTGCCAACCTTTCAAAATAAAGTTTTCCACTCCTGAGGTTACTGTGTATTTTCAGTTAATTCCACAGCCTAATTTGACTACTCTTGTTGACTTCAGTTATTTAAGAGTGTCATCACCTTCAAATAAATTACACTTCACCATACAGTTTTATTCTTGTTCTTTTTTCCTTTTTTTGTAGCTGTATTACGCAGAGAGGTGTAGATTTATTCCAAAATGCCCAATAACCCACCAAACCAAACACCAACTTGTGTAAACACAGCATACGTAAACAGCCCCGGCTATTTGTCATTCCAGGTTTGAATGACTCCTTTCTCCATCGTTCTCCTCAGAGGTATTCCCTCGTTCTGGACCGATGCTTCCTGCAGACCATTGACTGCATCCAGAAACTAAAGTAAACAGTGGAGCGGTGAACGCAGAGGTTAAAGTTAGCAATCAGGGATCTGTGAACTTTGCACAGGCCAGAAAACTGTTTGTGCCTCTATGAGTTTATTAATCTGCCAGTGCCTCTCATTTACATGGAATGGAAAGAAAATAAATAGCACAGATCTAATGTGCTCATTAACAGGAAGCAGAAATATGGACTTGACTTACAAAATCGGACAAGATTTTTTTAAAATTTGTTTAAAGCATTGTGCCCCTCAAAAAGCCAGTTGTAATTAACTCTAAAGTTATGTGTTTAATGTCAAATAAATGTCACGTTCCCCATTTCTTTGTTACGGCTGAGCGCTGCTCTTTATGCWATTTCCTGCATAGAAAGAGCCTTTAAACTTGTCCTCTTAAAAACTCTAAAAAGTACTGCGTGCACAACTGACTAAACGTGAAATAAATATTTTTGTRAAAGTAAGAAAGTTTTAATCGCTGTTGAGTTGTGGTAGGAAGCTGCAGTCTTGAATTCTGAACTTTCCCACAGGGAATTCCCACTGGTTCCAGTTTAATTTTACGACTTGCCAGTGGGAAATTCTCACTTCTCATTACAAMTGAGCCGCTGCAAAAGTAGCTGGCAAAAATKGAGATTTTACAGTGAATTTCTTTGGCTGCAGCTACTTTTGAACACTGTACACCTCCATTTAGTGGTGGGATGCTGTTGTTTCACATGTAAAATATTCAAGATGTAGTTTCAAAGCAACAAACACTTATTATAAGATATTAGTACATCAGTGAAACTCTCGTGGGCCACATAAAATGCAGCCTTGGGTAAGACACGTGGTTTTGTTCCTTTACCAGGTCATAGAGAGTCAATCAGTGATTTATTTTTTCACTAACTTTAATTATAAGCAGCTTCACTAGTTGGCAGTGTGAAATGTTTTTGATGCACGTCAAGGAAGTCCATGGTGTTAAGATAAAAAAAAAATGGTTCAACATAGCACTATTTCCACCTCATATTTTTAGTTAAACATTTGACGTTTCAAGAAAAGGGGATAAAGCACAAAAGAAGACGGGTTGTGCAATCAACAGCATGCAGTGAAACATCTCTCTGGCAACACAATGGAGGTATGTAAATCACGTCACTGTGGGGTAAAGGCTGAGTCTTTGAGAAGTAAAGATGAAAAGTGCTGATGACATTTCTCCTTTCTGGAACAGCCGAAGAGCAAAGTGTTTCACACATACAACAGAAGCATTAAACGCTTTACATAAAACCAGTTATTTTTTTTCTTTCCAGGTTGCAGGGAGTTGGTGCTTGTCTTGAGCAGTCACTGTGTGAGAGGTGGAGCTAGCTGCAGTCCATGAGGCCGCATAGAAACAGACAAACAACCATTCACTCACTCACCCACTCCTAGGGACAATTTGGAGTTACCAATTAACCTAACAAGCATGTTTTTAGTTTGTGGGAGGAAACTGGCGAACCTAAGAAAACTCACAGATACGTGGAGAGGACATGCAAACTCTACACAGAAAAGCCAGAAGGCGACAGCTCCATGCTGGGTATGGAAGGCAACTACTCAGTCGTTCATTTGTATCAGTCTGACATCAAAGGAATGTGTTACTTAGTATTTTTGAGAAGGAAGTTACAATCTAACACGGGAAAAAGTGTAACAATGATTGTTCACTTTTTCATTTTAATCAATTATTTTTTGTAGGTTCTTCTTTTAATCCTTTGCTTCTCTCTTCTCTTTAAATGATTGTCTGCATATAGTTAACATGTTCCAAATAAAGCAAACAAAGCAAACAAACTGCAGCTCATCATCAGTGGTGCTTATGCAGAAATTTTCAGAGGACTGTTAATCACATCGTTTTATGATCATATTCATTAGTAAAATGGTAATTATGTTTCCTCTGCACCTGCCAGGGGACTTGTTAATCATCTTAGTTCATGAAGGAGCATATCTCCATGTTACTGCTCCTCCAGCCTTGCAGATGCAGTCAACAAAGTGTGTTTTTGTGTTTTTTCAGAGAACAATGCATATTCATTAAAAATGTGCAAATAACACACTGTTTTCTCTCAAAGTGTCTGTATTAAAGCATATTGCAACCATGCCTTGACTTGGGTTTGGAAAAAAATCCTTACACTGTCATCTGAAAGCATTTGAAAGGTTTTCATAGAAAAAAGATTATTTTCCAGAGTGTGAGCAATTCAATCATAAGTGAGAAAACTGTTGAGAGGATGAAACGAGAGAGAGACAGGTGTTAAAAGTGACAACCAGGTTATACCAACTGCTCGGGGAGAACAGCAGGCTTCAGTGGAAGAGCGGGAGGGCACATGTTGTGAGGTGCACAGTCTCTCAAAAAATAGCAGATCTCCAAGCAACGCTGTTTCCAATGTTTGCTTTCATGTAGGTGTGTCATACCCTTGTGGTGTTTCCCAGCAAAAGGATCTCAGAGGCAAAAATGCAGCAAAGACGTTCTGCAGAGTCGATTCTTGCTTTTTGTAGTTTAAGATCACAAGTCGCTCATATTTCTACTTGTCTTAGAAGTCTTTGTTTTTTCACTCAAAATGAATGAAAATGAAGCAAATGATGGCATATCGTATGAGTGATGAAAGAGCAGCTATATAAACTTTATGTGTAAAAATTCTGTCAAACTTGTTTCCAGAAACCAAACAGGAAAATCTGAAAACAAGAACTCTAAAATCATGGTGATGATAGCCATTCGCACAACCCTGCACGGTCAGTTGAGTTTGCATTATCTCAGTTTCTTTTGCAAACCGTTTCATTTTAGCAAGCATGCCTGTGTCAAGCATGCCTGTGTCAAGCATGTCTGTGTCAAGCATGTCTGTGTCAAGCATGTCTGTGTCAAGCATGTCTCATAAGTCTGCTGTTGTGATTGAACAGATGGAAACTTGTGATTAGGTTCAGCCTTTTGTGATTGTAGTTTTTTTATTTTTATCTTTGTCTGACAGATCCCTGTAGAAAGAGTCAGAAATAATTTGTAGAGACAAGAGGTAAAACAATGTCACAAAACTCCCAAGACTGCTGGCTGCTCACAGAACTATCCATCAATGTGTCATGAATGTCAAAATATTAGTATTTGTTTTGACACAACTGACACATCCACTGATTAATACAAAAAGGCTGTGTATTCCAGATCCTTATAGTGGAAATCTGCTTTTTTTTTGGTTCTCTTCAAAATTAAATCAGTTGCTCGTTGATTACTTTCAGACAGTTTCATTAAAATCTGTTCTGTGATTCATGAGATTTTATTTTCTAACTGTACAGATAAACTCACACATGCACACACACACAGAAAAGGACAAAAACATTATTGATTCACTTTTGTCTGTGTTGGCAGGTGATAATTATTTCCTCTAACGCTTTAATCAATGCATAATCTCAATGCAATTTGAAAGGGTGGGCAGGTGAGTGTATGATTTATGGTTTATTTATTTAAAAGGGGACAGTGCAGTTTAATAAAAACAAGTGACAATGCATAGGTTAAGAAAAAAATAGCCAAATACATTTTTTCATCTGTAGTTCTACAGCCATGAAGTTTAAAAAGCAGTAAAATGCAAGAATATAAATAAAACACAAATGCATGATTAAAAAGAACAAGAAATTAGATTAAACACATCCAGACACACTAAGAGAAAAAAACATCAATGCTAAAATTAAAAACAAGACAATATAATTATACAATACTACACATATCAAGTGAAGTACAAATAACTAAAGTTTCTACTTAAGTACAGTAACGAAGTATTTGTACTTTGTTACTTTACACCTCTGATAACAGTTTCCTCTAACGGAGTCTCTTGTCACACACTCACTGCTGTTTCTCTGATAAACTCTGAGAGAGGAGCTGGAGACAAAATAAGTTTCTTTATAGATCAAGCACAAATCTGCAAATTTATGAAGGTCAGTTCAATTAAAAAAATAAAGAACATACTTGTTTTATATTTAACAGGGATGACAGCATCTTTTTTGTGTGGCTTGCTTGTACTATTTCAATGGGTTTCATTGTACTTTTAGAGGCCTGTGACCAACTTATACAATAAGTAAGGTGGTTAAAAACGTTTTTTTTCTCTGCCTCAGTGACCATTCCATTCCTGACTGAACAGAAAATTGCAGTATTCAGCTCAACTATTTGTTTAGTATTTCTGACTTTAAACAGTATAAAATGTTTTTAGTAAAGAAAACTTGGTAGAGTGATAATTAGTTTTAGAGTAAGGAGCTCAGGATTTGCTTTGTGTTTAAAGAAATCAGCTGAGGTGGCAGACCCAAAACTCACTGGAGGTATTAGGTAGCATCTGTGTCCTAGAACCTCCTTGGGATCTCGCAGCAGGAGCTGCAGAGTGTTCCTGAGGAGAAGGATGACTGGGTGTCTCAGCTGGCGTTGTTTCTCTCTGTGAGGAACTCTGTTTTGCTTTTAAGATTTGGATCATCTTGGCCCCTAAGCATGAAAAAGTCTGTGAGAGTATGAGTCATCATCTTTCTCCTGTCATGAATCCTTTCTTTCCTGATGGAAGTGGTCTTTTCCCACAGTGACATTGCCTCGTCCTTCTACGGGTAATAAAAGGTCACTGTGTTTTAGATGAATATAACAGTGACATAAATTGCATGTTGTGGCCTTTTGCATTTTCCAGACTTAGAGACAGACTTTTATGTCACCATCATTAATAAAACACCGTTTACTCTGAACTTTTGGAAATTTTCATATCTGATGTGTTACAGATGACTAAGAAAACACTTTATTTGACTCCTTTCGTGAGAAATTGTGCAAATTTATATAATACAGTGTTCTATTCGATACAACTCTATAAATATAAAATTATATGGTACAATACAGTGCAAAACAGTTTTGTTCCCTTGGAGACATTTCTTTTGGGGATGGTTCTGTCCTGTTCCTGCCTTCACAATGAATAAATAAATACGTTAAAATTAAGTTAAAACATTAATTAAGAAACTGAAACATTTTCTTTTCACTAGATAAAAAAAGAATGAACAAAAAAAATCTTGAAAACAATTTCACTGAGCTTAAAGCAAGTGTCTGCAGTCAAAAATATCTCTCTTCAGCTCTTATTTTTACTCCTGTTGAAAACACTGCAGTCAGCAGCAGCGGCAGCAGCAGCAGCAGCAGCATCTTCTCTTATCATATCCTGCCACTCTGAAAGCACGAGCCTATGAGGCTTTTTACGGGACAGGTTGCTGAGGTAATACAAAGGATGACTTACAGCTATTTGCTCCACTGTCCCTGCACAGGCCAGCCTCATCATGGTCAGCTGCACCTCCCATCCCCCTTTCTTAGTTAACTGCCTGTCCACTGGTGGATGAGCTGGCTGTAAACTACACCAGGTCTGCTAATTAATTAATGTACCCTAACCTAACTGCGGGGCTGGCTCCCTCCATTGTACAGGAGCAGCTCTCAGCTGGCTGCAGTGGTAAACGCCTGTGGGATTTCTTTCATCTGGTTCCTGCAATGTTTTTTTTATTATTATTTTTTTGGTAGAGAAGCAACAGATCCAGGAGCAGAGAAATAGACAGCTGTGGATGCTCTTCAGCAGCATATATTAATCATCTTTAGGGGCCATTGTGGTCCTGTCCTGTGAACGGCGCCAGTGCAGGCAGGCAGACAGAGAGAGAAGAAGACATCAGGAGGGAAGACAGGACGAGGTGGGGTGGGCAGGGTGGCTGCAGGGAGAAAGAGTGGGAGAGAATGGTCGGGGAACAGCCCGTGTGCCCACCTCAGCTCCTTCTGCGGGGCTGGGGAGCAGTGCTGCTGTCTCAGTGCTTGTCCTCTGTGTTCTCCCAGATTCCGGATCCGGAGGTAAGAGCCACACGCTGTGCCATCTCSTCCACAGGTTTTCACAGACATATCTTGAAGGTTTTTTTATTTATTTAATTTTTTTTTCCTAGTGATGGGTGTTGCTGTCTAAAACACAGCCTGTATGAATGTGATTTGATTGGTTGCTTGTCTTACAGGTCTGACAGGATTAGTGTTAAAATCTGATGTATGTGGGCTKGCAAAACCATACAAATGTGACTGATTTGCTTAAATCTAGTAGTTGTTCTGCTTTGGGGCTGAACAGAAAAGAGTTCCATTCTAGAGAAGTTGACTTCTGTTCATTTAGATATTTTCTGTCAGTTTATAGAGAATTTAAACAAAACCAACACATCTGAACAACAAAACAATCTTTAATGGCATTACAACCAATTCATAGCTACTAAAGTAAAATGTCATTTGAAGCAACTTAATGTTAGAAAATAAGAATACATGTTGAATGCTAAATTTGGACATTTGATAAAGACATCTCCTCATCTACTTTTTCTGTTGTTTTACATCATGTCAGTGTTACTAGCAAAGGCAACAAACATGATGTCCACTTTTAGATCAATTGCTTCTTGGTTTATAGATTAAAGAATAGAGTTACCACAACAAGCTGTATTATCCAATCAAAGGATCAATATAAAGCAGAGAGAAAAAATGATTATTGATTTGACCATGAGAAAACGATGCTCTGCTGTTTTTGGTAACATAAACCAGGCTGTTCCTCTAATAAAATCACAGGTCCTTTTTTCCCCCCAAGCCTCAGCAAGATCATACAGGAAACTGTCCCTGCAATCTGTTTTTTTTTTGTTCGGAATCTGGTTTTGCAGAACTTGTACAACATGGCACAAAGGGTTAAAAACTAAAACAGTAAGATAGTTTTATTAAATTAAAATTATTTACATCATGTCAGTGGACTGAAAAGAAAAATCAGATTCAGTGATCCCAGGAGTTCTTTGTAGATGCTTTACTTTTGGGATTTTTCATGCGTTCATTTATTTTGTAAATCAAATATGAGTTTTATTAACAGATCTCAATGGATTTGTCGGCTTTGCCTAAATTATGACATATTGCAGAACAAACTGATTTAAAAAAAACCCGGACCTTCTCTAAGATTTCATTTTCTCTCTTCTCTTTTTTCGTCTTTCTAACAGCTTTTACCCACAGATCCCCCGAAGAAGCCGGACCCTGTCACTTCAGAGACTGTCGTTTTCTGGGGGCTGCGGTTATGGCAGGTCATCGGCATATTTTCAGTGTTTGTGCTGGCAGTTGGTTAGTAGATATCATCTTTTTATTCATTTATTTTTTAAATCAAAGTAGACAACAATCTTTAAGAAAGTATAATTTTCAGTTTATGTACAATATATGAGAGTGAAAACCAGGATCAACGTCTTTTTTATTTGTCAGCTAAACAGAATTAAGTTAAAAACAGAGAAACACCTTCTTTCATACTACCAAGTTTAGTACTGTTTAACAAAAAAAGCAAGTATGCATTTAAAATTGGCAAAATTTTACAACTATTCAGTATTTCTTGGAGTTTCTGAGGCCCATTCTARCCTGTTACAAAACTGAAACAAAATGGGAGGTGTGTACATGACATTATATCAGTTTAAAATTGAATAAATCACATTTCCTTTGAGCTGTTTGACTTTTTAGCTTGTTGCAGATGTACCTTGCATTATATTTACATTTCTCTCCAAGTTTCACCATGAATTTTTTTAGAGACCAATATTAAATTGGGGAAAAGCATGCAAAACAATTACAAATCCCATCTTTATTTTACAGAAAAGAGCTATAAGAATTATTACCAGAAAGCATTACAGTCATCCTTCAAATATATTATTTTATCAATTGGAATTATTAAAATTTTGTGAGTTAGTTGATTATAATATTTTGCAGGTCATGTATAAAGC